TTAAGCTTTTCTAGCTTATCTACAGCTCCACTATGTGTGAGCGTTTCAGTCAGTTGTATGAGAAAAAATACCTGGGGTTTAAATCTACACGCATATCCTATAGGTCTCGGTGGTCTAATGGATAGGAACCAAAACCTCAGCGCGAGGTTGTGGGTTCCTATCCCGCCAGAAACATTTTGTTCATACAACTGAATTAAATAGGAACTTTTCGTTGAAGGGCTATGCCTGATACGATTATAACATCATGTTCCTATTTTAGCTCTGGTATTATTTTTTTATTCACTTGTACATATCAAAGCGTCTGGTGACTTTCAGATATAATTATACTAATTGTTGAGTGGCAACTACTGTTAATACCTTTAACGTGGAAATCATGGTTTTTACTTCTTCTGCTATTTGGTGTTCCATACTTCGTTTTCCAAAACCGAAATCACGGAGGGTACGGACTGCAAATTGGCGCTGTGTTTGCCATTTATCACCATAGAGAAGATCGAATATACCTGAAATAGATATATCATGGCATTATATAAGGTAACATGAAGTATATTGCAAACATCTTATCGTAGAATCAGGATGATTAATAATAATAATAATAATAATAATAATAATAATAATAATAATTTACAAAGCGCCATTAATTTAATTCACATTTAATTAATTTAACCTCAAAAATTGATAAATTGCGTTTTTCCGAATCACGACAGACTGAGTAGATTGCTGGTATAAATGTAAACTTTTAAGATTATATAAATCACAGAAAATCATAAATTTATACTAAGTACATTCTCGACTGTCTTAGACATGTGGACCTTATCAAATTTAGTTAGGTGCATACACACCCTTCGCAACACCCCACCTACTGGATATAGGCCTACGTTCCTGGAAACTTTACATTTTACTTACCAATTATTACAGTAATATACTCTTATTAATTAGATATCTTCAAAACTTCTTAGTATTTTCCTTTAATTATTTTTCCACTTGGACGCTGTTTGATTTGAAATTCACATATAATGCATAATTCATGTCGTTGCTCTTCTTCCTATCCCGTATTCATTTTCAGTCTCTCAGTGCTCGGTGGTAATATTTGACTTTCTTTTTAAATGTCAAAGTGTGTTTTAGCTCTACAGTAGGAGTACAATTAGGCTACCGTACCCACTCCATTAAAGACTTGTTTATATATATATATATATATATATATATATAGATTAAAAGGCAAAATACTGAAAAAAAACAATGCTGTGGGAAACAATGGCTGGATCTCAGTAGAGATACAAAAATGATAAGCAACAGCTAAAAAGTAAACGTACGTAAACAGCCAGAAATAGAACCAGAGCTTTCGGACAACACTAGTCCTTCCTCAGTAGCGAGTGAGTGAGGGTAGAAAAAGCTAGATGGTATAAAGTGAGAATTTCATGCAAGCATGATTGGAAACAATAGGCTGGGTGAGATTAGAATAAACAGCCTAAACAAGTAAACAGGAAGGCCAAAACTAAACTTTAGAGGCAAGCCTCAATGAATAAGCCAAATGATTTATCCAGAATAAATTGAAATGGCATTGGTTTAATTTAGTGTACTGTGTGAACGTTCCTAATATTGAGTCCAAATGGTGTGGTTGTTTTAAGTAAAAGTTCCCAGTGATTTTCTTTATCTTTGCGATTTTTGTCGCTCCAACTGGCATTATGGTCAATTGCAATCACTCTGAAATTTGAAATTGAATGACCAGCTAAATTGAAATGTTCGGCTACTGGTTGATCAAGCTTAGATGTCCTGATAGCTGATCTATGTTGTGTCATTCTCATACGGAGAGTGTTTTTTGTTTCTCCGACATATTGTTTACCACAAATATATTGTATACAATATATGAGATAAATGACATTTTTGGTGAGGCAATTAATTGATTGCTTTATCCGAAATATGTGGTTTGTTTGGTTGCTCTTGAATGATTGTGTAGAATCAAGCAAGGAGCATGTATTGCATGATGAACCACAAAGATGACTACCCAAATTACGGT